TCTGTTTTAAGAGTAAAATATGATTAGAAACACAGCCACAAGCCCTCTATTTAAATGAGGACAAATAGGCTTTCTTTTTAAAAAAATTAAACAGAACTTCAACTTTTTAAAAAAAGCATTTTCATAATTTTACTCATCAAAATGAGTCTTTTTACTGACAAAATCCAATGAGTTTAATTTGTCAAAACCTGCCAATGGCATGTATGAACAAACCCTGCGTATATTGCACAAAAATTACTTTGCAACCAAGGCATTTTCAAGAATATTTATCTAGCTGCTTTACAGACTAAGTTCTGAATACTGTGTTTCTGAAACTTCAAGGCTTTGATTAGAATAAAACTGAGAAAGAATGGCCTATCTTAATCAAAATCCATACTTGTAGTTTTTTTTAGACCAATGACCTACAGACACACAAATTTCAGGAATAGCTTACTTAGAATAGATTAATACACTTTTATTAAATACCCATGTTGATTTCATACCCTCAAATCTGTAGAGAGAAAGGGGTTTCCAATAGAATAACTCCATGATTTGAGTTGTTCAACATTATAGATACTTCTGTTATAAAACTTTTGCCATCTGTTCACTTTCAAAAGTCCCCAATGTAAGTATCATGTGGGCACTCCACAATTCCACGTCTTGGAAACCTATATAAAACTGCTGTTATCTCTCTGCCTGTCTTTTTATCTCCCGAGGAGGACTATCCTCTCCTTAGATGCAAATTAAATTAAATGCAAATTTGTAGATGCAAATAAGGATTGTTGGCTGACATCCACTATATCTCCAGACAAGTCTAAAAGTAGCTCCCTGCAAGCATTCGGGATTGCCAGGACCTTTAAGGCCTTGGGGAAAGACCTCTTCCTGGCATTAGAGGGAATTGATGCAAACTCAGTGATGGCACCACCATGATTCCACTGGATCTCAAGCTAGAACAGGCTTTGTGAAATTATCACAGCAATATTTTGCACAAAGCAAGAAATTGTGTCAGAGTGGAAAAGGCTGAGAGTTAGAGCTGATAATACTGTTAACTATATAAAGTGGGCCCACTGGCTGCTAAGATGGTTTAGAGCAGATCACTATGAGCTGATAGCCCATGCGAAGCGATTCAAGATTTATAAGGCACAATGTTCTGATTCCAAACTCCAAGTCAAAAACAAGTGAAACTTATCCACTGAAGGGAAAGAGTTCAAACAAAACATTGATGGGACTAAAAGTTAGCATCTAAACCGTGCATTCATTATTGCTTTGCACAGATCATCAGTTGGCCATGTTTCACTATGTTGCACATCTGCATCACTCAAATGCCACAATAACATGAGAAATGTGTAACTGGAGAGTAACCAATTCCAGCCCAATTCAAGCTAAATGCAGAGGTTTCTGTAAATCCTGTTTTGGCCAGTCAATCAGGAAGAGGATACATCTGTTCAAGGTCACCCTCCAGCATTAATCTCATGCTGTCGTACACAGGCCAGATTCAGTGAGATCTTTCGCACAAATATCTATAGAATGACCCCTTCATTCTAATTAACAAACAGCTTTGCAAAGAGCCAAATTCCATTTGCATTAAGGCGACACAATGAAGCTATCAATGGGCTGCCTTATCTTCACTGTTTCCAATCATACCAACAAACTAACAAGGTTATTTTAATAACTACTTGCATTTATAAAGTTCCCTTTATGAAAAAAAATCTCAAATGTGCTTTACAAAGCACTATTGATCCGCAATAAAGTAAATGCTATAAGGGGACACTACTGTAGTTACTAGTTTTATGAGCTAAAATTGAAGGCAACATCGTGAAATGAATAAGTAATTGGTTACAAGAGCTCAGGCCCGGCATAAAAAGGATGTTCTCTGATTGGCAGGCAGTGTTAAGTGGTTTCCCCAGGGATCAGAGCTTGGGGCCCCAGTCTTTCACCCTATATATAAATGAAATGGGTATAGGAATAGAGGGGAATATTTCTGAGCTTGCTGATGACACAAAGCTGGGAGGCATTTCAACTTGTAAAGACAGTAGAAGATTGCAAAGGAACAGAGACTGGTTAAGATAGTGGACATTAAAGAGTGCAGAGTGTGAGGAAGTGCACTTCAGATGTAAGAATAACATATGCGCTTATGTTTTCAATGGAGAAACATTAGGAGAAGACAAGCAGAGGGATCGAGGGAACCAATTCCATAAAGCATTCAAATCTAGTTCGCAGGTGGAGAAAACAAACTCTAAAGCTACTGGGATGCTGGGGTTTACATCAGAGGTCTGGAATCTAAAAGCAAATAAATACGTCTCCTGTTATACAGATTGCTAAGCAGACCCCATTTGGAATGCTGTATTTATTTCAGACAACCAATCTAAGGAAGATGGGCATCCAGCAACAATTCACAGGACTCATTCATATCTGCGGTAAAGGGGTTCAGATATAATGAAAATCTGCAAAGATTGGGTTATATGCCTGAGAACTGAGGAGGTTAATGGGTCATCTGATTGAGCCGATTAAAATAATGAATAGAATTCAAGTTATATAGTGGACAACTCTTCCCTCTGGTAGAAAGATCTAGAACAAGGGAACATCTTAAAATTAGAGCTGGAATGGTTAAGGAATTGGATCAGACAACCCAGGCAGGGCAGAGGCTAAAGGAGTTTACAATGACTGGTCCAGAAAGTTTTAAGCTCAAATACAATATTACAGTATTATAAATGAACAATGATCAGAATTTCTGACATAGACACCTAGCACAGTTTAAAAAAAACTTTAAAAATTTCACATCTAAGTTTCTTGAACTCATTTTCAAAAACAAAACAAAGATAGAGCATGCCAAATACTTTATTTTGTTCTTAGTAGCTTGCAGGTCCTGCAGCAAATAAAAGTGCCAGAGGTAGCAGATTTCTGTGCTGTAGCTTCACATTCACTGAGGGCAGCACTGGTCTGCATACTGACTTCAACAATATAGAAGGGGGTTCTGATGTCTTGATTATTCACAAATTACACAGGATCTTTCTGGTGACATGTACCATGGGCTTTGCCTCTCACCTGAGACTGTCCTGATGCCATATCTAAAAGTGTGGTCAGTGACCTGCAACATGCTGGAAGGTGCAATATCATCTTATCATCTTCTCCAGCGCAGATCAAACAAATCACTCCCTTACCTGTTTTATAAAGCATCAATGTATTGATGAGGAAATGATGCATACATGAGAGAAAAGGGAATTGTACAAGAGAAGGGAATAGGAGGTGTGGGGCTCATGTGGAGGATAAACACCAATACTGGTTGACCAAATGGCTTGTTTCTGTACCATGTCATTCTATGTAATTCTATGCAATGGGTGCGTCCAAACATATGGGAATAGATAATTGGCAGCAGCAAGGCTGTACTGTACATTTTGTACCAGATTAGAAGAGTGAACTTGTCTATTAGGAACTGGAAAGCAGCCCAGAATATCAATCTCAAGCTGCACACTTACGTACTGCAAGGAACAACATCTGGTAACAGTGAATGCATCAGAGGAAACCTGCTTGCTTAAAATGAGTTCATGTTGTCACTTCAGGGGTCTTTGTATGATCTTTAACTTGTCTTCTATATTACATATATATTATATACTCATTATATTCCACTAATCATACTGGGAAAGTGTGGTTTCAGCCCTACCTGATGTCCTGCTTCCAAAAGATACAAACAATTGATTGAATTTTCCATACAGATTTTGATATGTTCACATTCCAAAAGAGAGATATATATTGGAACCTGATTGACTTTTAAGATTGAGATTAGTAGTATTTGATGATCTGTTGAACTGATTATTGAAAGACTGCTGAATCTTTCCAGTAACCTTCACTACGTGTTTTGCCATTCACCTGAGACTATCTTGATGCCATGACTGAAAGGTCCATTGGTGACTAGACCTGCAGGTCACAAAGCCATGTCTAAGTGCAGTCAGTGACCTGCCCTGGAGGTCACATGGCCTTATAGCTAAGACAGAAAGACATGAGCTTCAATAGCAAAATGCTTGTTGTTACCCATGCATTTATTTATGAAGCACACTGGAACTTTCTAAATGGGGAAGCAGATGAAAAAGATATCTGGAGATTCATGTATACAAGTCATTAAATGCTAATTTGCAGATGTTGGAGATTCTGAAGGTACATATTCAGCTTAATGTAAAATGCAATAATAAGTACCGCACATATCACAAATAATCCTAGAACACAAGAATACGAGGAAGTAATTCAGTCAGCCAATTGTCTACTAAATTTATAGCAACTATAATTCCACTTCCTTTCCCTTTTCCATTCTGTATGTTATATCAATATGTTATACCAACTACCAAACTCCCTTTGAACACCTTAAATAGTTGGCCTTCTGATACAGTCCATTCCATATTCTCACATCGAGAATCCAAACCAGACTGAGAGTTCCACATATGTATGCCACCTACACATGAAAATTTCCCTGCATCTTGAAAGGAATGCAACTCACACTGGAAGAATACTTTCTGTTTACCTAATTCCAGAGATATTAGGCTCAGGTTGGCAAGTAGCCAAGGCTTTGGGATGCCAGCGGTGGCTTAAGGCTGGGGTTTAACCTGCTACAACCACATAGCTTGTCATCGAAAGCACTGCACGGCAAGCTTCTCACTGCTTGTCCAGGTATGACTATCCTACCCATTAGGGCTTTGGCTTGCAGAGTTAACAGGAGCCAAATGGGAAGAATTCCTGCTCCTAGTGCAGGATGCTTCTCCAAGTCCTGTTGTTGAGCCAAGGTGGCTAGTCTGTTATCAGCTAGGCCCTGGAGTATTGAAGACTTGCCTGGCTCAGGAACCAGACAACCGAGACCAGGACAGAAGGTTGACTTAATCCTGTCTTTCCATTAAAATAATTTTTTAAGAAATGTAAGAGGTTACAGAGGCGTCACAGAAATTGGATTTTATAAGACTGCATTAGGAGCAAAGCACGATCCATTGACGGATATCTTAAAGGCCTATTTTAGCTCACAGAGTTCAGTTACTCACTGTGATTTTCTTCATGTCGAGGTATCGGAGCTGCAACATGTGCCGGAGAACAGTGGGTCTGTACCATGGCTCCTGAGCTATGGGATTGCCATCCAGGGTAACCTCTGAAAGAGACAGTGAGTCTGCCAAACACACAATGTCTTCAACGCTGATTAAAAACAGAGAAACAAAAAACATATTTGAAGAACATTAATTAAGCTGCCGATAGTCATAAAGGATAAAACAGGATAAAATTAAGTTAAACAGGATAAAATTATTACTGACACTTTTTAGAAAGGCAACGTCAATACTCTTGGGAGCTGTGATAATCACAAAGAGCATAAACATCTTTTGGTAAAGCCACCTGCAAACACCTGATACCAATCGAGCTCTGATACTTATAATAATAATAATCCTTGCATTTGATCTAACGTCTTATCACATTGTTAAGATGTCTCAAAGCGCTTCACAGAATATATTGCCAAGTGGATTGACTGCATATTTTCTACATGAAACGCAGCAGTCACTTGCGTATATCAGTGTTCCACAAACAGTCTTGGAGTGAGTGACTAACCCTCAAAAAAAACATTTTTTCAATCGATTAACAACCGGGTGCCTACTTACTGCAAGGTAAACATAGGCGTGTGGAGTAAGGAACTACCATGTCCATTTCCATTATCCATGCTGTCTTTAAATAGTGAGAATATTATCGATGGCTTAATTGTAAATGTTGGCACTTGTCTTTGTGCGCACACTACTCTATCTCACTCATTTTGTTCTGCCAGCATTTTGGTACTTTTTTAGAGAGCATCAATGTCATCGCTTTCTTTAGAATTTGATGGCACTCGTGGATTAGTGAGTCTCAAGCAGATCCCTGGGGACAAAGCTAAGCCAACATTTAAACTTGTAACATTCTGCAAACTGCCAGTTCAGTTTATGTCATCTCACTTTCATCTGCGACTCTTTACCATTGCTTCTCTGCTCTGCTGCTCTTTTTCACTCCTTCTGCTGTAAATTTCAATTTAACTACATCACGGACCTTTTCCTATTTGATCTACAGTCTCTGTTTCAGGACTTACAGTTGGTTGATGCCATTCACTGGTCCTAAACGTCCTCCACACGCTCTGAATCACTGCTCTTTGCTAACACCAACCCAGTCTCCAGACTTTCCCTGGTCTCCCAAGCTCGTGAGCATGGTAACGCACTGCCTACCCCATAAGCATGTTTGGCAATGTGCTGAGTGAGCTATTTTCTCCAGCTGGTGTACCGTTCTAGGTACTGAACACTGTTTTACTTTAGACTTTACTCTGGCACATATTCGCAACTGTAATTAATGTCAATTTGCTTGGAGCAAATTATTAATGTATCGCATCACTTGTAGTATATTAGTATTAGGCACAGGTTGGCAAGAGCCAAGGCTTGGGGACCACAGAGTGTGCGTTGAGGTACTGCTGGAATCTGACCAGCTAAAACACAATTTAGTGTTCAGTCTGATTTTATGGATTACCCTGAGTAGCCACTTCAGTTTATAACTAGATCTAACTCCTCCAGTATCACCCAAAAAAAGGCTTCACTCCAGTCCATACCATACTAGCTTCTCAAACGTGCATGCAATCAATACTGGCAGCCCAGAGCAGAGTATAGGAAACCTGGATAAACGTGCACCATCTTTTTGTGAGGATGAAATAGGAATTATCTCTCAGGTTTTGTTCAAATTGTGATTCTTTAATTCTACAGAATAAATTACTGAAATATTATACACAATCGAGTGGGAAAAAAATTAAGTAAAAGATTAAAAAAAGGAGTTTATCAGTTGTTTGGGATGTAGTTTCAAAACAATATGGGTCCAACATTCTTGGCAGATACAGTAACACTCACTAACTAAGCAGATATCGATGCACATTTACCTCTGCTTATTTATTCTTCAGTCAACTTTATATCCGTATTGCCACTTACCCTTTAGTATAGTACCACTTTAATTTTTTACACAAGCCTTCTGTATGGCTGCTAACCCAACACGTTTTGAATATTACTGTTCAATAAATTATTTAGCCCAAATAATAACAAAATGACCCACTTTTGAATACTACAGGAAAATTCTATTTATAACTAAGTGGGAACGAGTTCGTTTTCAGCACTGGTCTGATTGTAAAAAAAAGTAATGTACAGGCTCTTCCAAACTAGAATTTTTTTTTAAATTAAAATACTTCCACACTACTCCTCAATTGAATCTATCACCTAATAGCTTTCTAATACACTCCTAAATTTGCTGACACTCGGCAATGCAAACACACTACCGACTGCCTCAATTGTATTTGACTCGTGGAGCCCTGTAGCTCAGTGATTAGAGCGCTTGCCTTGCAAGCGAGACACATGGGTTCAATTCCAGGCAGGGCGAAACATTGGGCAAATTTCCTTACTCCACACGCCTAATAATACTCCCTTCAAAAACAAAATCAATAATAAATTGGTCATTTCAATCCACGACTGTTTGTGGGACGCTGCTGTGTGCAATTGGCTGCCGCATTCGCCCACAAATATACGGTCAATTCACTTTACAGTCTATTCTGTGAAGCGCTTTGAGACGTCGAGAAGACGTGAAAAGCGCTATATCAAATGCAAGGATTATTATTATTATATTTCCAGCCATAGTTCTATGCCTTGCATCTTCCTCCCAAATACCAGGTCATAAACATCCAGATGTTTTTTACTTCTTGTTATAATAATAATAATCTTTGCATTTGGCACATTATCATGTTGGAGGGATGTCTCAAAGTGCCTCACAGGATTCACTGTGAAATGAAGTGATAATGCATTTGTAGGCAAATGCAGCAGCACAATTGCTCACAGCAATGTCACACAAATAGCCATGAAACTAATTTTATCTGGGGATTGTTGGCCAAGACCTCGGGAAAAACTCCCTTCTCTTTTCAAATTGTGCCATGCGATCTTTAACGTTCCCACCGGCAGATGGGATCTCAGTCTCATCTAATATTAAATATATGTTCAGTCCATCTTAGGATCCATTTCCTTCACTTAATATGTTGACATGATCATCAAAAAAACAAAAATTTCTAAATTACGTCCCGTCCAGCTGACATTTAAACATGTGCAACAGGATGTGAATAATGTATGAAACAATTATAAAGCTGTGAAATTGAGCATAGCATAAATATAACCAGGCAAAGCTAATGACTGAATAGTTTCCACTGAGGTTTGTTTTAAAATATATCTGCAACATAAAACTCTTTAAAGGACCATAAAAAGATTGCTGACTAGTTTTTAGACTACAGTACTCTATTTTTCTCAATCCATTAATTACAAGAACATTTAAGTTGCTGAGGGCAGGGGTAATATAAAACTGTACGCATTTTGTTTTTAAACCAACCATTTGCGGTGTTCAACAAGGGCAATGCCCTCATTCAACACTCTCCAGGGACTTTAAATGATTCAGTCTCAAGTCAAAACTACAGTGGTTTCATTCTATTCGAGCGATTGAGAAAGAACATGCACTTTAATCCCCAAAGGGATTGCTATAGTTGTTCGGAGATAGACAATTAAGACAATTAGATGTTCTGCAAATATACAATTCACAGGAGAACTGTTTAGAGACATCTTCAACACCATTTTTCATTTCCCCAGGTCAGTGTATGTCTCACTTGTTCCCATTTGCACAAACTCGCCTGCACACAGCTGTCCTCTGTGATGTGGAAAGGATAGTAAATGAAAGAATGTCTAAGTCCTGAATACAAGTTGTGGTCAGCCAAAGGTCAAATGGGATTTAGGCTAAGACATAATTTGTTATACAGGCGTACTATAAATAGCTTGTTTTATTTGCCTGCCATTTTAGGAAGAAATACATTACATGCATTAAAATTGGGGCAGAAATGTGAAACACATTTTGTTTTTGTCAATATTCTCTTTTATAATTATATTATTGTTTTCATTATAAACATGAGCATATTTAATTAGCCAGAAACAACCAAGAACAAATGTCTCACAAAAGAGCTGTCAGCACCAGAAGCTTTGGAAACTGTATTGAGGTAGAAGAAAGGAACAAGTCAGAGTTCCCAGCTTCCCTGACAGATGATTAACTCTGCAGTTACATAGAGCTGTGCAAAGACTACAATCCAGACAATTGCATGGCTGAAGCATCACTGTTCGACTTGCTTCCGAGCTTTCTGATGCTGAGTAACCTCCTGCCACTTCCACACGAGACACCCAACAATGAACTTGAATGGACCACTTTTGCTCCCTTTCATCATTGATAGATACCATATTATATTATTAAGAAATAAAACAATGCAGCATAGAGATTTTACGGTCATGTTTCTAAACTGTTCCCTCTTAATTATTATGAATATCCCATGGCACATTGCGCTGGACAAGGGGAATCTGCATTGGGCTTACCCTTGTATGAACTTTGCTACTGTTCTGTCATTGGGCCTAACACAAACTAGAAGCATCATTATAACTGTAGAGCAAATCTATTGGTACGAGTGGGTTAATTATTTCAAGTAATAACCACATTATGAGTAAGGTTATTGACAAACCAAGGCCAGTATACATTTGCAATGTGAAGATCAGAAATAGAATAATTAGGTCTAATTTAGGAAGTATTATGAAGTATTACAATCACAAGTCAGGATATATGCAAGTCACATAATATATATAGAAAATGACATGCAGTTAATAAACAGAAACAGTATGAAGGTGGAATGTTCAATTAATACTATACCATTAATTAAACTTGCAGGATATTTTAAAAAAATGAAACTTGTTATTATTCAGTATGAGATTTGGCCTGTCATGAGTTAGCTAACCTCAAACAAGCAATCAGCAGGAGCATCATAATTAGCCTCAGCGACAACATTAGATGCATATGTGAGAAGAGAATTGGCCTTGGCTATGATGCCCCACAGTAATATAAGCTGGCAACATTCACTGTCAAGTCTCACACATAAATAATGGTCACTTCAGCAAGGTACCACACAACAGTAATTGCCTGAAGGACAGTAGAAATAAAATAAGGAGTTAAATACATTCGGGAGATAAAGATGAGAAAAAATTAGAGAGGCACAAAATCATCTTGTTCAACTATATGTACACAGCAAAATTTTATAAACCAATACGTAGCATTTTATATTATTAATATTCATCTTACCGCAAAGCAATCATTCATTTTAATTGCCCTTCACTGATCAATTACTAAAGTATTTAATTCTAAGCTGAGCTCAGACAGCTGCAGTAATGAGGGTGCAGTACCCAAAGGATGCTTTGCTGCATTTCAGTCTGTAAGGATCGGAATAGAAACATCAAGGAACTGCTGGGTTTTCCTCAATGTTACGCACAAGCTGGATTGTAGCTACAATGCCAGAAAATCACCCCAAAGAAAGCAAGGACAAAAAGGTTGATGAAAATATTTTGTAACCGTTAATAACGCAGATTTTATTCTTATGCATGGGAGCATTCAGGCCTTCAAGGGCAGACGATGCTTTTCTGATTATGATTGCAGATTAATACAGGATGCAACTCTTACCTGGATATGTTGTTAAAGCTGAGAAAGAGGCGCTGGAGACAAGGCAAAGTGTCTGCATCGCTCTGTAAGGGAGGGAAGAATCCTCAGCAATATATTTAATACCGCAACATCCTTTTGTGGAGCCCTTGCAGCTCTGTCAGCCCTGTATAACCTTGCCACAGATGGCTGCTCAACTGCAACCTTGCCACTTGCTCAGAAGCATTCCAGGATATTGGAATGATGCACTCAGGCTGATGAAGGAGAAGGATGGGGATTGCACCTCATCTTCATGCTCAGGCTCTCAGGGGAAGAGCAACCTGCCTCCTCAGCACTCAGCTGCAGGAAAAGCCCAGCATGTGCACATTGCATTGCTATTGATTGGCTGTTAAAGCTATCACTCAGCAGCTCACTGCAGTTACAGTATTTTCCAGTTTGCTTTGTGGTAGATTACAGCTCCTCCAGTCCAGCTTCCACCTCCTCGCTCAGTCACAGAGTCGCCAGGTACCCTCTCCCTCAGACGTAGCCTCCAGCTCCTCTCTCAGCCATGGTGTATATAGCGCCCTTAACGTATATTTTCTCTGAGCGCTTTACAAGACACCAAGCCGGGGAAAGGGGGAAGAGAAGAATGGAAAGGTGACCATGGGTGTGATCAAAGAAGACTTTAAGGTGGGACTTAAAGATAGATAGAGAAGGGATCAGTCTCCTGAACAAGGAAGAGAATGCGATTAACATAAATGGCTTGTAGATGAAAACATCAGTATAGGTTTAATGGACCAAATGGCCTTTTCGTGTGCTGTAATATTGTTTGCTTCTATTATTCAGCGCTCTGAGACGCTATCTTGCATGAAGAGTGCTATTTAAATGAAAGCTGGTATTATTGTTTTGATTTACAGGCAGAAACTGCACAACTGAGTAAAATACCTAAACTAATGACATGACAGATGTCTGGTTATTCTTGGACACAGAGCTGGAATGCATTTTAGTTGTTGAAAGCTCTGCCTGCGGGTTACATTTAGCGGCTAAGAGTGGTCCATGGAATCACTGGGGAAGACTTCAATGGAAAGCAGCTGGATCTAAGTGGAGATAGCTAATGGCAAGGTAATCCATGCTTATTCATAGCTGAGCATTCAGAAGTGGTGTCTGGCTGCAAGGTTATAGTTGGGTGAGGCTACTTCACCACCCAGAGACAACACAAAAGTGATTTATTTTCTTTCTTTACAGTAACACAAGTTATGTGCAGTGGCACCATAAACAGGACATTATATAAAATCAATCATAAACAAGTTTCAGATCTATAACCTAAAAAAAATCAATATGTTTGAACCACTACCTCAAACTCTGTACGTGACAAAATAAAAGTTGCGACTTACCACAAATTCAATTTGGTTCCGTCTTAGATTGAGCTCAGTCAATGAATCAAGGCCAGTCACATTTTCCGCCCGAACAATTAAGTTTCCAGCCAGGTTAAGTACTCTAAGTTCCGCCAAATGATTAAGGTTTTCAATTTTACAGATCTGTAAATTTAAAACCTGTATTAATGAATAAGTTCACACAACATAATTTCACACAGCAATATTGATGACAAAAAATATACAAAATTCAAGATTCGAACTCTGGATTATCATTTGTGACAAAGTAGGGGGAAATTTTACTCTGCACCTGGCCATACCTGTGAGTGCTTATAATGCTGTTCCATTCCCCAGTAAAATGAATCATAAGAACTTCACAGCACAGAATGTAGCCATTCAGCCCCTAATTGAAAACTTTAATCATTTGAAGCGAATTGCTAGCTGTTTTGTGACAACTTCCTTCGAGCTATTTAAACTATTTTTTATAACAACAATGTGAATTTAGCTAAACAGCTAAAGTCAAATAAAAGTATATTTCCTTAAGTAAAGTTGAAATGCCCCTCTCACTGCTCTAATTACAGCACCAGGAGAGCAGAACATATGAACACGACACTACCTGGATGTGACTATAATGAGGACTGTCATTTCAGCCAGTAAGAATTTTACCAGCATTTCCGCAGCTGTAAAACTACGTTTGTAAAACTACCCGACATGTAATCTGTCATTTTTCTTAAGTCAGCCAGGTGTCTGATACTGTACATGTGGAAACTGCTTAGTATCCAAATCAGATAGAGTTTCATATATGCATGCCGTCTATGCATGGAAATTTCTGCCTCAAAAAGTTGGGATTAATCTGAGAATTATATCAATATCTCTCATCTAAAATAACTGTTTAGGACCAGAATCACGGGAAACCAGGAAGACTCTGACTCGCATTGTACAAGAGAGGTGAAGCCAGGTGATACTCTTGTCATAAAGTGAAATGTAGATACACGATAATCCTTTAATTTGATATAGAGTCTTATCACATCTTCAAAACGTCTCAAAGCACTTCATAGAATATACCACAAAGCTAATTGCCAATTGCGCACACCAGTGTCCCACAAGCAGTCGTGGATTGAGTGACCAAATTATTATTTTTAAGAGATTATTACCCCGGAAAAGCAATCCACCAATCGACTAACAATTGGGTTCCTACTTACTGCTAGGTAAAAAGAGGCATGTGGAGTAAGGAAACGTGCCCAACGTTTCGCAATTTAGATATTGTAATGTCTGCTGTGGAACTGCTCACCCAGAAACTGACCATTCAGCCTATCACTGTGCTGATCTTTTTGTAATAAAGATTTCACATTCAACCACCTTCTACATAAAGATTTGTTTTCTTTTGTGATCATCAACAACAACAATTTACATTTGGCTGGGAGAAGGGTGGAAAATGAGAAAAGCACAGTATGCTCTTAAATTACTACCTCACTGTACATCAGGATTTAAGAGCAAACACACAAACTCTAAATAACCATTACACTGAAAAGAGTAACATAATGCATGTTTTTCCAGTTTAAGATTCAGAATTCCCTCAGTGCTTTTTACACACTACTAAAGAAGCTGACCTAAAACTGCATTGGAGTGTTCACTGCACCTGGTTTCCGTGGAGATCCAGCACGTCAAGATTGGTCTGGCTCTCAAGATTCGAAATGTGTTTGATTCTGGAAATGATGTACAAAATACCAATGTTAATAGCCATAAAAAGCTTACCCACTATAGAGGTTAAGATGACTAGTCTAGTTGCACAACTTATCCCTTTTTCTCTTTTTGAAACGCTTTCGGTCATCTTTCCTCTCCCCACTCCCCTCAATCCTCGCCCCATCTCAGCCAGTACTCCTCCTCCTCCTCTTGCACCTTACACCCCACTACCACTCTTCTGTGAGAAACAAGACAAAATATTAATTTAGTGTTTCTGCTATTCTGCCATTCTCCATGACAAGAATTTATTACTTTTTGTCTCTAATTGGCCTTACTCTTTCTTTAGTTATTCTTTGCTTTTGATGTGCCCTTTTCTATTTTACTTTATTTTATTTGCTAACCTTTCGTCACACACGTTGGCCCTGTTGGCCTTTCTAATTTCCCTTTTTGCTTCATTACAGTCTCCACATTGGTAGAATAAGCCAAGAAAATGTTTTATGTAACAAAATTGCATTTCAAAACTGTGTCAGAGCATCACATCAAAGGCTGGGTTAGTAAAATGCTGTACACTGTCCAGCGCCTTGGGACGTCCTCCCGACGTGAAAGGCGCTATACAAATGTAATCTAGTTGTTGTTGCATCAGGTATTGGAGGCTGGGTTAGTTCAGAAAAATACTGAAGGCCACACAGAGAGCATAGTACACCTATCTTAAGAGAATTATTCAATGTTTCCAGTCAAGGAGAGATAAAAATAAAAACAGACTTGACTGTGTCAGTAGTGTGTTTAACCTAGGCCCCTAAACCCTCTCTGCAAGCATTCATTGGCTGCCACAGCGGATCCCCAAAAATGGTCACTAGACCTTACAGTAAAATCCCGTGATGCACTTTGATATCCTTATGACATGAAGATCCTGACTCAGATGCAAAGATTAGTATTATCCATTGATGCAAGATACAAATCTGCCAAGGCAAATGGGTTTATGAGATTCATGAACTGGGGAATTGAATATAAAAATAAGGAATTACATTCACTAAGCCTAAGACTATGGAGTGATTTGATAGAGATCTTCAAGATTATGAAGGGTTATGATATGGTGAATAGTAATACAGTGAAACTCTGATAACTCGTAACCCTAAGGTAAATAGCTCAGATGACTACTTATCAGAGTTGACAAATTATCAGAGTTGACAGTTCTTGTAAGTAAAAAGTACTCAAATGACCAGGATATTAAGTGAGTGACTAGTTATGTGGGCTTGACAACCTATCCTAAGGGTGAGTTACCAGAGTTTCACTTTAGATCATTTGAACTGGTTCGCAAGTCATTGAAGAGATGTTGTTGTTGTTGAGAGAGCACATTTTTAAGATATTCACAATGGGAGTTAAACTTGAAAAAATAATGATTTGCTTGAAACACGAAATAATCTGCCACAAATCAAAGCTGAAGCAAAGACCATCAATTACTCTAAAAGGGAATTAAATAGACGCTGGAAGAGGAAGATTAAAGGGAATGATGAATGTCCAGGAAAGTGGTTCTTGTGTGAAGAAAAATATCAGCACAGACCTGATTGGTTCAATGAACCATTTCTTTGCTGTAACATGCTATGATTCCATAAATACTTTTACAAATGCAAGTTTGCATCAATCCCATTTGATTTTCTACAACGTATTCAAACCTCACTTCCCAACTGAAGTGGAACCAATGGAATAAAAAACATCAATTTTCATTAAACTTTGAAAAACTATTAAACTTTTTTTTCACGTTTGCACTGAGTTTGAGTTTTTCTCTAGAAAACAATTCTCATGATTTTGAAAATACAGTTTTTCCTAAATGTTGACAGACTTTTGTATGTGCTGCCACCTACTGTCCAATGTTTCCACAAATAATAATCCTTGCATTCCTTCCACTAGGTTAAATAGCAATGCTTTTCAGTCCATTATCAACTAGATGATTAAAAATAATAATAATTTGGTCACTCAATCCACGATTGTTCGTGGGACACTGCTGTGCGCAATTGGCTGCTGTGTTTCGCCCACAAAATATACAGTCAATTCACTTTACAGTATATTCTGTGAGTGCTTTGAGACGTCTCGAAGACGTGATGAGGCGCTATATCAAATGCAAGGACTATTATTATTATCATCATCAGGGGAGCCTCCTATTGTTCACATTTCTCTCACAACTTTTGAAAGAAGACATCCCACTTGTTCTTTCACATCAGAAGATCGTTAGGATCTGAACCAAGAAACCCTATAACATCTGCCTATTAATGTGCTGCCTTCTATTCCTGACACTAACTCCATCATGTCTCTCTCTGGGACGTCCTCCTGACGTGAAAGGCGCTTTATAAATGGAATCTTGTTGTTGTTGTTGTTCAATGGTGCCTTGTGTTTTACCTCACTTCACCCTCTCAAATAGTGCAGTCCTAACAAGTTCTGGCTCAAACAGCAGCTAAACATGTTTAGCATTCAATCTTTTGAAAGGTTACAGGACAACATCTGCAGAGGTATGATGAACAAAACTTATTGATGTCACCTCAAGAACCATTGGTGGCCCCTTCAGAAGCAGAGTTGTCTCCTCATGCCGAGATGCGTGATTTTATTTGCCATTTCTCAAAAATCTATTGCTATGACATATGCTCAAGACATTAGCAGAATTGAGGCCAAATGACATTTGTTCAGGCCTTGACAACTGGTGGGAAATTCCCATCGGTTTGAGACCCTTTGTCTGTTATTCCCATTCTGCAGTAAAACAAATAAGAGATAAAACGGATGGCAAGCAGCAAGTTCCATCAGACATTCCTTCCACTCAACACGTTGAACAGTCCAAGTCAGCTGACCCAGAACATTGCTGTCATTTTGAAATCGTAACTCAAAATTTTCAATAATTACATGCAATACAGCAACTTTGCTGTACTACTTGAGATAAGGTATGGATTTTCACCCACAAGCAACAAAGAGTTTACTTTGGTGCTATGTGCTCTATTTGTGGAGTCCTGTAGCTCAGTGGTTAGAGCACTCGCTTTGCAAGCGAGAGACCCAAGTTCAATTCCAGCAGAGGGCGAAACCTTGGGCAAGTTTCCTTACTCCACACAGAGCCTAATAATAATCCCTCCAAAACCAAAAACAATAATAAATTGGTCATTTTCAATCTACGACTGTTTGTGGGACATTGCTGTGCGCAATTGGCTGCCGCGTTCGCCCACAAATATACAGTCAATTCACTTTACAGTGTGTTCTGTGAAGCGCTTTGGGACATCCTCCCGATGTGAAAAGCGCTATATCAAATGCAAGGATTATTATTATTATTTGGTGGGGAGGGAGGCAACTTTTGGTCAAGTATTGTCTCTATTTCACAATGGCTATTGAATATTTTCAGTTGAATTAATGTGCAAATTAATCTGCTTTCATTTTTCAATTCGACATTTTTTCTTTTAAATTCAAAGGCAGATAATTTCCTAAACAAAGGTGTGATCCAGCTGCTTCCTTCATTTGTGGTGAACTTCAGCTGAACCACAAATACCTGGAAGTGAAATGTTTGCAAAGAGATGAAGAGAGTGTGTGGGAGGAAAAGGGAAAAAAACATTTGAATAAGCGTGATAGAGAAAATTTGGGGTACTTCAGAATGAATTTCCAAATTAAAATTGATAAAAATTGTTGAACCAATATTTTTTGTAATATATGTTGGTAAGAAAAGAATAATAAATGATATGATGCTGCTGCACTTCACACCCATTGAAACATGATTTCCCCACTATACCAGCCCTTAACCAGTTGCTATACCAGGAAATACTTCTGAAACACTCTGAGATGTTGCAAGGTGATGAGGTGCCAAAAAGTACAGATTCATTCTTTAACATCTTATGCAGCACAGCACCAAGTTCTATACAATGAACAAACGTGCACTATGAACCCTCGAAACTGTAGCTCAGCCACTGGCCACACTGAGGGAATTTATGACTGAGCCCAAGTACCTCATCTGCAAGTTCCCATCCCAGCCATGCCATTAAAGAGGCACGAGATGGATGCTAAATGCTTCACCACAGGCTTCCTTTTAAACCAGTCATGTGAAAACAATTACACCAGTAAATGCTTTCAGAGCTGTTCTCAATTTAAGCAATAACATACTTTTCAAAGAAAAATTTAAAATGCTGCAAGCCAATCACATACTAGTACTGTGCTACTCATTTATTAGTACTATTATGACCTGTACAATTCCAACTATCTATAATCTGCACGATTGTTCACCATAAACAGTTTTTAAACACACACTGCTCATCACACTGCTGGCAAACACTGTTCACCACACACTCAAGCGCAAGCATATAGTGCTCATCACATTGTCACGGGCTGGCACACACTACTTATCACACTGCCACCACTAGCACACAACTCTCACCCCTCAGCCAGGCGTCTGCCACACGCTGCTAGCACACACTGCTCACCACAATCATGCTCTGGCACACACTCCTCACCACAGAACCATATTCTGGCCACACACTGCTCACCACTCTTATGTAATAAATGTAAGCATCAAGTGTGTTCAGTATTTAGGTGTGGGTTTGTAGCCTGAAGCATTAGGCAGATTGTAAACAATGAGAAGCACTCAGTTACTTCAGAACCTTTTCTCTAACCCAGATTTTTAAGTATTCATTACTTTCCATATTAATAATTGTCCATGTACTCCAGACAAAAGCTGGACATCCAGCTATTGCAGTGTTAGTGTACAGAAAATGTTTTCACCACAAGTTTCAAAAGGGTATAAAAAAGTGTCAAAGTTATGAAATCAAGTTCAAATATTTCAGCACCATAAATATGAAACAACATTACTAGGCACTGCCTGCACAGAATATTACTCCAATGAATAAAGCCAAGGGAGGAAAACAAAATGTGAAAAGCTAGAAGTACCCTTCAGCTTCAGAGTGCTTTTCAAATCTTTTTCTCAACATAATTCAAATTCTGGAACCAGAATCACCTTTCAACTTTGGTCAGAAAATGGCCTGGAGCAAACAGACCTTCAGATGTCAAATTTTAATCTGTGAAATCACCTCAATCACAAAAATACTGTTTTATAGTAAGTAACTGTCAATAGCCTGAGACCTTGGTGATACAAGAGCTTTTTAATTGGCAGCAAAGTAATCTTAAAAGGAATTCAAAATTCACACTAAGTAATCAAATGGAGAAGTGGCTTTCAAAATCATTTCACCATAGGGAAGAGATAGTAAAGGTTGTAATAGGCTGTACATTTCAGTACAGAGGAAAGGTTAGTGAGGCTGCAGTGCAAAACACCAGATATGATGCGTAAACAGGAAGAGCTAGTAAAGACCACACATTCTGGGAAAGCTTCCTCTCCACTACCCACGAACTGCAGTATTACACAACGAGCGCAGGACAAAAAGAAGATATCGAATGGTGGGTAAAGTAGCAAAGTATCAGACTACGACTGCGAGGGGCAGCAATGCCGCTCTTTATGCGAGTGGCAGCATTGCTGTAGCAAACTGAGAACAGTAATATGGTAAAATCCTATATTATGCCCACAAAATATACAGTCAATTTACTTTGCAACATCTAGAAGACATGAAAAGCGCTATATCAAATGCAAGGATTATTATTTATCCGATAAAATCTATTGAACTCTTCTTCCTATGTGCTTAAAATGATCAGACAGCTTTGGTTGTTAGCAGGTCTGTGCTTGTATATAAATACCACTGCACTGATGGAAGGAATGTCAAATCAGATTATGGTATGAAAGCAGTTATTTATATAGTTGCAGCACTGCTCATCTACTCTCACAGTAATTTTGATTTATAAAACTATTTTTACATCTTCATATGTGCTTCCACTTAGCAAGGTGGAGTGTGCAACCATGGATGGTGATGTTGTCAGCACCTGAGGTGAGGAGGCGCTGATGCGAGCCAATCAGGAGAGCCTCGGTCTTGCTGACGTTGAACTGAATAAAGTTAGCTCTCATCCAGGACTTGATGTCTGACGGACATTCTGTCAGGACAGCAGAATACTAAAATGTTATCTGTGATCAGAATTATTCAGGTAATTTGCATTTGTATCCTGGTTTTCACAAAATAAATCTCAAAAGTTTTGACAATAATAATAATGATATAGCGCTTTTCCGTCTTCTAGACATCTCAAAGCGCTTCACAGAATGTGCTGCAAAGTAAATTGACCGTATATTTGTGGGCGAAACGAGGCAACCAATTGCGCACAGCAGTGTCCCACAAACAGTCGTGGATTGAAAATGACCAATTTTTTTTTTTTGGAGGGATTATGATTAGGCGTTGGAGTAAGGAAACTTACACAAGGTTTTGCCCTGCCTGGAATTGAACCCAGGTGTCTCGCTTGCAAGGCGAGTGAGCTACAGGACTCCAAGCAGGGAAAAAAATTCAAAGATGTTGACCAATAAGATTTTTAAGATGCTTTTGAAGTCAGGGAGAGGTAGTCAAGCAAAATGAGGCATCATCTTAAGACATTTCTTTACTCAGAAAGAAGCTTGTTAGGGTTTGGAATTTATCAATACAAGTGGTTGTTTAGACTGAATCAATAGAATCATTCAGAATGATACTGGTCAAAGATCTAAGCAGTAAAACCATTACAAGATGTGGAGATGGAGAAAGGGATTAATCGAAAAGGGCAATTTAGAACAGATGGCAACAGCACTGCCACAATGCATATTCTTTTGTACAGAACATTTCTAAATCAAATTATCATGTTATTACCTGTTTTTGCCCAACATAAGGACACGAAGTGACTTCAGAGCAAAAAGGCCACTGATTTCTTCAATATGATTGTTGTAAAGGTCCAAGAAAATGAGCCGCCTGAGGTTGGAAAGGTGCTGGATCTCAGTGATCAAATTGTGCTGGAAATTCAGCAACCGAAGTTGCTGCTCCCCTTCCAGTATTGGACAAACTGTTAGCCTTCTCCTGGACAAATTAATAATACAGATTAGTGCTGTCTCCTATACAGACAGTATTATTGAGAATATCAATGCAATATAATGTGTTTGCCCATTTTCATACACATTTTATAGACGAGCGATTGTCATTAGCTTTAAGAATTAAAACTCGTAAAATGTTTTCACTAAGAACATTCAACCATGCTCAAATGTCCACAGCTGCTTGGGCACATGATGTTTTAGCTCACGTTACGAAGTTCAAGCTTCCCATGACATAATTTAACACTAGTCTGTCTAGATTCAGTCTCCATATCAGATAAACTAGTTAGTCATGAATTTGAGCTTTGTTTGACCTTATCTCTGCTTCAAACCCTATATCCACTCCTTGACCAAGACAGCCCTCTTCCATTTTTAAAACATCACCAAATATTCCCGCAAAAGCAAACAAAAGCCTCATATAAGCATTCATCACTTCAAGAATATATTTCTCAGAAACACTGCAAATCCCTCCAACTTACACCTGCTCTTCCTGTCTTTAAAATCTTCCTAAAAATATATCTGACCATGTCTTGGGTCAGCATCCCTTCTTTTCCGCTCGATGATCCTCATCATCTTTGTGAAGCTTTCGAGAAGCTTCTATAGCATCTCTATAGATAGAGATGCTATAGAAGTAAAAGGTGTTATTATAAAGAAACGCTTACCTGTCTAGATTCAGCCTATCAGCATTCTCTTCCCGCTCCTCTGCTGTGCGATACACAACAGGTATCCCAGGTATTGAAGAGCTCTCTGAAAAAATGACTTGATCACCTGAAAATGCCACCAATTGGACATTTAAAATATTTGATATAGCGCCTAATCATATTGTTGAGACACCTCAAAGCACTTCACAGAATATACTGTAAAGTGGACACACTGCATTTTGTGGGCGAAACGCAGCAGCCAATTACATACAGAAATGTCCCAAAAACAGTCGTGGATTGAGTGACCACATTTTGGGGGGTGGGGGGGGCAGGCATTGGGATTATTACACCCAGAAAACGATCCATCAATTAACTAACAACTAGGTTCCTACGTAATGCTAGGTAAACAGTGTGTATTAAGGAAACTTGCCTTATGTTTCGTCCTGCTCAGGAATCGAAACAGGATCCTCTCTTGTGAGGTGAGCGCACTAACCCCTTTGCTTAGGGACTAACTCGGGTAGCCACATTGCAAAGAGCAAGCAATACATAAAATTACACAACGTACAATAGTGAAAGTTCTCAAGAGCCTTTTCAACAAATGCTTGTCTCACCTAATCTCGTTTGTCATAAAGTGCAAACAAGGAATTTTAGATTCAGAACACGTACCAGGTAAACAGGGCATGTTTCCCACAGTGTGTGAGGATGAGGGGACAGCACTGTGAGAACCCTGTCGTGTTTTATATTTCATTGAAGCCTGAAAATGAGAAGGCAATTCGCCAGCTGTTATACGCGGTACTGAGTACCGGATGGGATCCTCATTGCTAATGAACTCTGCAAAACAATCACGTAAAATATAAAAACAAGAATGCAGCATTTTAACAGAACCATTTACCAGAACACAGCTTAATGCTGAGCTCCGACATTATAAACCTAAACACACTGATAACATCAAATTTCATCATGATTTGTAACAGTGATTGTGAAAGACAGCAGGAAAATAGGTGGCAGATGCAGTTCAACGGAAAATGTACATTTTGTGATATGAAAAGGGAATTGAAATGTACCTTAACTCATAAGATTTTAAATGGAGTCAAAGAGGAGATAGATAAGATACACAAGTTAATAAAGGTGGCAGTGCACATGCCATTAAAGGTCATGGAAATGTGATATAAATCTTTTGTTTTATATCTAGAGGCACAGAATATACAAGAAAGGAGGTAATAATGAACTTGTACAAAATAGCCAGCAGTCACAATGGGCCCAACGGCTTCCTGTTGTGCTGTAGGATTCTAGTTAGGAGGCAGCATTGTAAATGGTTTATATAACATAGGTAGGTAAATAGAACTGAAAGGAATATTTTTTTTTAAAAAGAGCCAACACAGACACAATGGCCTTCTGTGTTGTAAATTTATATGCTCCTACAAAATATTTTAATAAGACGTACACAGTTGCTAGCTGGAATGGGGAATTCTCTGCTACGAAACAGCTGAAGCAGAGTCCACTAGTTTCTTTAAAAGGGAATTAAATGAGTGAAAAAGAATGCGGAACCTGGTTTGACCTGTTCTGAAAGTTAGGAACAGCGAGTAGATGGATTACCAACAATATATAAGATGATATGTTGCACGGCACCTGGTTTGGAGAGAAAATTCTTGTCAGCATCTCCATGCAGGCTTTTACTATGCGAGGCAAAATGCTCCTTATTTAATCTCGAATCAACCTGCAACGATAAATTAATAGCATATAAAAAAATCTGAAGTTCCTCAATTCAATAGTAATTCCACTGTTTCTCAGATCTCCACATCAACTATTTTAGCAACACTGCAAAACAATGGTAATAATTCAGAGATACTGCAAATAGAATGTTGCAAACAACAAAATTACATTTGTATAATGCTTTTCACATCGAGAGGACTTCCTAAGGCACTGGACAGTCAGAATTTTGGACCTGAGCTGGGGGTCAGGATCGGGGAGGGTGGAGGGCAGGGGGTAAGCAGGGTGATCAAAAGCACAGTCAAAGTGGAGGGTCTTGAGATGGGTCTTGAAGGAGAACTGAGAACTGAAGGAAACAGTGAGAACTGGCATAACAGCATCTAAACCTTTAACTTCATATCAACTTGTTAAACAACTCTAACCAGCTTTGTTATACTATTGGTCATAAAATGGACACAGGATTTACTACTCAAAAATTCCTTGTTCAACTCACAGCTCATTAATTATTAGTTTTACTACATCTGATGTCAGTAGATAAATCAAACATTTTTGATAGATAGATAAAATAGTAGATAAAACAAGAAGCATCAATCTACCAAGAGAAAATTTGATGCATGGGAGAAGGGAACAGAGACAGGAAGAGTAGGTGCTTGTATGGAGTATAAACACATACATGGACTAGTTGGACTAAATGACCTGTTTCCATGCAATATCACTCTATGTAACTCCACGTAATTACGTGCAATTGCTAAATCAAACTGTAACATGTTGGTCATTACAAAACCAGGACTTACATGATGCTTTGGGGCAAGTCGATCTCCAACAGATGATGCTTGAACAGTTAGCTTAAGACTGCAGGCATTTACCTGCAAACAAAATTTGTGCGCAATAGTGGTTACTAAACATTAGGCAGAGTGCAAAAGTAAAACTAAGTTGACAGCAGTCCTGTGTCTTCAATCAATCCATGATAATACTGGTCTCTGAAAACCTGATAGCAGCACTTATAGGGTTACTGACTAGGTGGGCCCGGTATCTGATGGGGAACATGATGATGGGGCTGGTCTCTATCCCAGGGGTATCAAGCAGACTGTTATAATATAATAATAATAATCCTTGCATTTGATATAGCACCTTTCACGTCAGGAGGACGTCCCAAAGCCTTCACAGAACACACTGTAAAGTGAATTGACTGTATATTTGTGGGCGAACGCGGCAGCCAATTGCGCACAGCAATGTCCCACAAACAGTCGTAGATTGAAAATGACCAATTTATTATTGTTTTTGGTTTTGGAGGGATTATTATTAGGCTCTGTGTGGAGTAAGGAAACTTGCCCAAGGTTTCACCCTCTGCCTGGAATTGATCTCAGGTCTCTCGCTTGCAAAGCGAGTGCTCTAACCACTGAACAGGACTCCACTACAGGACTCATGAGGTGATATTTGGCAGCTCGTCCATTAGTTTCTAAAATCATATTGATATACTGTCCTGAAATTTTTCTTTAAACCAACCGTCCTCTTTTTAATATGATGTATATTCAAACCTGTGCATTCTGCATTGCATAAGTGACATTCCCATTAAGCAAATGCCAGCTCAGTTAGTAAAAATAGCTAATCAGATGGTGTACAGAATGTTTGCTCACGTACATAGAATGCATTTGCTCAAGTACACATGCAACGGAACACAACTAGCATTGAGTTACTCACTTTTGTACCCGTTTCCCCACACTCTGTCACCAAACTCATCCTATCCCTGAAACCAACCACCTGCTCCCTTGACCCCATCCCCACTCCACTCCTTATCTCCCAGCTCCACTTTCTTGAATCAACATATCACCGACATTGTCAACCTGTCCCTCTCCTCTGGCTCTGTCCCCATTCCTTTAAAAACTGCCACCATCACGCCCACCCTGAAAAAACCCTCCCTATCAGGAGCTAGCAGCTATCAAGCTACCGGCCCATCTCCAACCTCCCCTTTCTCTCCAAGGTCCTGGAAAGAGTTGTCGCCTCCCAACTGTACATCTTCACCCTCTACATGCTCCCCCTTGGTGACATCATCCGCAGACATGGAGTTAACTTCCACATGTATTCGGATGACACCTAACTCTACCTTTCCTCCTCTACTCTCAACTCCACGACCACCGATGTCCTGACAGCCTGCCTGTCCGACATCGAGTCCTGGACGAGAGACAACTTTCTTCAGCTCAACGTGCGAAAAACCGAGGCCCTCCTGATTGGCTCACGTCAGCGCCTCCGCACCTCAGGCGCCGACACCATCAGCATCCAAGGCTGCACTCTCCACCTCTCAAAGCCAGTCAGGAACCTCGGCGTTTTGTTCGACCCTGAGCTGTCTTTTCTCCCTCACATCCGCACCACAACTGGCACCGCCTTCCATCACCTCCGGAACATCGCCAGACTACGGCACTACCTCACCCCTCACGCTGCTAAAACCCTGGTTCACGCCTTTGTCACCTCAAGGCTGGACTATGGGATCTCTCTCCTCGCCGGCCTTCCCGGCACCTCCCTCCACAAGCTGCAGGTCATTCAGAACTCTGCAGCTCGTGTACTGTCCCGCACCAGGCTTCGGGACCACATCACTCCCACCCTCGCTCGCCTCCACTGGCTCCCCATCCCCCAGAGGATTGATTTCAAGATCCTCATCCTCACCTACAAGGCCATTCACGGCCTCGCTCCCTCCTACCTCTCCAACCTACTATCCCCCTACCTACCTGCCCGTTCCTCCGGCTCCGGTCTGCTCCACGTCCCCCGCCCCAATTGCCCTACCATCGGTGGTCGGGCCTTCAGCCTCTCAGCCCCTAGGCTCTGGAACTCTATCCCCCAGTGCCTTCGCCGCCTCCTCCCTCTCCTCCTTCAAGGCCGGTCTCAAAACCTTTCTCTTTGACAGAGCCTTCAGCTCCCCTCTCGACTCTCTTCCCCCTCCTCGCTCCCTCCCTCCCCTCACCCTGACCACTTCCCCCTTGCTCGGGTCATGACCCAACTGTGCAGCACCTTGGGACGTCCTCCTGACGTGAAAGGCGCTTTATAAATGGAATCTTGTTGTTGTTGTTGTTGAGTTGTATAGCGAAGGTAAACTTCACATTGTTACTAAATGGCATTTTCACAACCTGTTGTATTTTTGCTTTGATGATGTTAAAGTGTTATGTTTTGGAATTTAAGTTAAATATTGAGACTTAGCATTATCTATTGTCTTAGCATTAGCCTGCATACTATTTTTGATGACTAAGAATTGTGCAGTGGGGCAATGTTTCATGTAAATTGGTATATTTGAGCAAATATGCATACAATTGCTGTCAACATTTTCAGGTACAGTATTATGTACAATTTTTAAGGGCGCGGCCCACCAAGTGAACAGTGTTAACTTAAATGGCCTTTGGAGCAGAAGATTGACACCCCTGCTCTATCCCTAGTCTCTCTCTCTTTTTCTCTATCTCCAGTCTCTCACTCTCTCTTTCGCACACTGTACCCCAATCTCCCTCTCATACGGTGCCCACCCCCCCAACCTGAAACACTGTCTGCTGCCTCCCAAAATCTGAAAACATTGTCTGACCCATCCTGGTACTCTACATGGCACCACACACACACACACACACATGCCTGACCCCTTCCAGACAGCACTAGTCCTGGCTGCACTTCCCGGGTACTTTTGACTGTTTGTGATCCATTGCTGTGCGCAATTGGCTGCCGTGTTTCGCCCACAAAAAACGAAAGTAATTACATTTACAATACATTTTGTGAAGCGCTTTTGAGACATCTCAACGGCGTGATAAGGCACTGTATCAAATGCAAGGATTATTACATTGGATTGTTATTTGATCACACGGCTCCGGTTCGCAAATCTGTCGCAAACTTAAGCAGGCACTTACGGGGTTACCGACCAGCCGGGCGCGGTATCGGCTGGGCAACATGCCGGTGGGACTGGTCTTGTGCTCGTCTCTAATCCCCCAGTCTCTCTCCCTCTTCCCTGGTCAGTCTCTGTCTCTTTCAATAGCTCTATTCACGCTCTACTCTCTCTCCCAAGCTCTACTCTCTCCCAAGCTCTGCTCTCTCCCAAGCTCTTCTCTCTCCCAAGCTCTGCTCTCTCTCCCAAGCTCTACTCTACTCTATTCTCTCTCTCTCTCTCCAAGCTCTGCTCTCTCTCCCAAGCTCTGCTCTAGTCTATTCTCTCCCTCCCTCCCTCCCTCTCTCTCTCTCCCTCCCTCCCTCTATTCCATCTCCATTCCCACCCACGAGCTCTGTTCCCACTCTCTCTATTTATATTCACACCACATGTTTCGCGCGCGCACTCTCACTCCTCTCTCTCTCTCGCTCTCTCTCTATATATATATATATAACGCTGTCCTGTCTCTGTCCCTCTGCGTATCCCCAGTCGGTGCGCCCCAGTCTCTCTCCCCGCTCGGGACCCCTCTCCCTCAAACCCGCCTCTCCCTGTCGCTGTGTTTTCCCTAACAACCCACACTTCCGGTTCGCCCGGTGCAACCGCCTGACGGACCCCGTGACAACCCGTAGCTGCGCTCACAAGGCCCGGCCTGGACGTAATAATAATAATAATAATAAGTATCCACAAGGAGTGAGAGAGACTCCCCCCGCCACCTCCCCCTTTTAAAATCAATACACTTCTATTTGCGATCGACTGCGGCCAAGTGTGCTGCTCAGCGGATAATTTTTAAACATGTTTTAAACATGTCACAGGGTGAGGAGGTACCGGAGGTTGGGGGGAGGAGGGACAGGCGGGCCGTCGCCATGGTGACAGCGCGACTCCTGCGTTGGATGAAGAGGGAGGGAGCGGCCTCCAGTGAAAGGCTCGGACTTCATCGGAGTCCGCCCAGAAACCCACTCACATCCGACGGTAGGACGCGAAGTCAGACATTTACGGTCATCCTTTGTGAAGCGCTTTGAGGCGTCTCGACGACGTGACAGGCCGCCGGGCTTCATTGTTATGGCCGTATTACCATGTTGTCTGAAGTGACCTTTCTCTGTGTAGGGCTGTGATGATAATAATAACAATAATAATAATCCTTGCATTTGATATAGCGCTTTTCACGTCTTCTCGACGTCCCAAAGCGCTTCACAGAACAGACTGTAAAGTGAATTGACTGTATATTTGTGGGCGAACGCGGCAGCCAATTGCGCACAGCAATGTCCCACAAACAGTCGTAGATTGAAAATGACCAATTTATTATTGTTTTTGGTTTTGGAGGGATTATTATTAGGCTCTGTGTGGAGTAAGGAAACTTGCCCAAGGTTTCGCCCTCTGCCTGGGATTGAACTCAGGTCTCTCGCTTGCAAGGCAACGCCTCGTAACGACTCTACCTGGTGTGATCTTGAGAGATGAGCACAATTACACAATGACTGAGTTAACCTGTTTGCCACAAGTGTAAAATCACTGGCATAGCTGTTCTGGTAAATGGGTTTGGCACTTGCTTTGAACAGAGCTATTTGAACACTCCAACAATGCAACATCCCAGCACTGTATTGAAGTGTCAGTCTAAACTGAGTTCAAAATCCTGACAAAGTGTAACTTAAACGCAGTGGTTCTCCTTTAACACCCCCTCCAACGGGGTCTTGGCCATTCATTTACATTCCTAATATTCATATCATATCTGGACATTTTTATTGTGGAACAGAAAGGCTCAGCAATATGTCCTGCCTAATTTACTGTTAGAAAGAGATTGGCTGTTGATCTTGTAATATGTGATTAATGTTACAACTGTAAAGGAAATATTGCAGCAATGTATTTTGCAATGATCGCAGTCAGTTCCCCTTCCTCTCATATTGGCAGAATTTCACCTCCGGAGGGTTAACAGGAATTTCAATTGCATGATAACTGAAATAAACAAGGTGGCTCTTTACTGTCACAATCATCAGCTCATTCATAAGAAGGGTATTGGTTTAAAAATTCAGAATTCCAGATTGAGTGCCGAACCAGGTCTGTTTCACCAATTTTTAAAATAATTGCAGGAGGAGAAAATGTAAATAGCAATTAAAAAGCCATGAAGGCAAACCATATATCAAATTGTCACCTTGGTAATAATGCCCATTGCACAATGTGCTCAATGCAATAAAGAGAACTGGGTTTATACTAAGTGCAGAAGAAAAATATACAGATCTTGTTGTAAGCCTTTAACTCTGCTAATGTTTAATCCACTCTGACAACAAGTGCTGAGAAAAGCAGATGCATTGAGACTGACAGAATGTTACCATCTGGAGCATTTACTACTGTGAAGCAGTCTGGCAGCATGAAATGTTAGACATTGACATGAGACTGAAAGATAGTAACTGTTCTAAGCAGTGTACATGCAAATGCATGTATTAATAAAATTATGCCTTTATATTTTGATTTGCTTTAGTGCAACTCATAGCAGGGCACACAAAGATTTTTGGGGGGCAATTTTCTGTCCTAAAGTGCAAGCTCTTTGCCATTCTTTCCTCTCCAGTACCTCTCAAAATTGACCCTTCTTCACATGTGATCCCAGTCAATGTGATCCCAGGGTCACTATTTGATCAAGACGGGGGCGAGAAGAGCCATTACAGCCTAGCACCTATCCTTATCCGACATTCACTTTCAAGCAGATGTAACCAAACTGAGATCTGAAGTGGGAACCCTGGCTGATTTTCCCTCTCTCTAACACTAACCCAAGGGGCATTGTGATCAATGGTAGACCGAACTGTAATGATCATTGACTCAGTACATTTTAAGGATGGAGCCTGGGAACTTCAGAAAGTGCCCTTGCTTCTAGGGATTTACAACGATCATGTCTAAAGATAGAAGCAGAGCAACATTGCTAGAACAATTCCATTCCAGTTTCAGAATTTGTTTTCCAGCAAGTTGTTTGCACAGTATTGAACAGACTCTCCACAAAGCCAGTGATGATGTCAATTAATTATTTTTAAAAAGAGCTGAATGAATATCTAGTTATTAGCAGGATTGAGATTAGAGAGATAAATGCAAAGAGAGGATTAAACGATGAGCAGACCAGACTCAGGGTGTTTGCACACCTAACCGCCTGGTCCTCTGCTAATTCAGCTAGAGACAAGGAGGCAAAACTGCTGCTGATTACCCCTTCCCCAAGGAATGGCTGGTGAGCTGAGTTTAGAACAAATCACTTGTGGTGAGGGAGGGTTTAAAAGCAAGAGGACTAATCACACACACAGAGCTCCTATAGAAAGGGCAATGCATATGAAAGAGTCTTCTGGTGAATTGAGTAAAAGAACCACCTAGGACCAAAGATTCACAGGTTCAAATTCACCTCTGTCCTGAATCTCAATCAGGGAAACAAACAATTAAGGCTACATTTTGCATCAAGGCCAAGACACTTGTGTGGGGTAGAGGGTTCCCAATGCAGGGTCCTTTGGGTCCATGCAATCAAGCTCACTCATTCACTAGGAAAGTGCATAAAAGAAAAATGTTTTTTTTTAGGAATGTCCTGTATAGGTTTCATCCATTGGTCAGTAACTCAAAACTGTTTCCAAATACACTCTTACCCTTATGGTGCTCCAGCTGATTCTTTTTGACCTCTGATCCTGAGTGAGGACACAAACAACTTATGTGTTTCTTATCACATACAGTGCTGCCTTGGTTTGGTTTCTTGCTCTTCCTCTGGAGGCTGCCTGAAGGGGCACTGACATCAGGATAATGGAATTTCACAAACTTTTGGGAGCGAAGAAGAGAAAACAAAAAACCCACATCCCTGTGCGCTATTTCTATCATAATTACTGGCACTAACTAACAAGTTGTAAGGGTTTCCCTTTAAATAAAATAATGTGTCACCATGAGATTGGACTGAAGTTTGTTCCTTAGAATAAACTAATGAAATCACTGCCAATTGGTATCTAATTGATGCTAGTTAGTGAAGTTATCCCCAGTTGTAGGGCGCCAGAACCCAGGTAGCATCAGGAGCACGGATGAATCTAAAGCTATTGCCCTCTCTCTCCTCATATAATTATCAATCACAGGAGGTTTGGGGTACAATATGCCATTACCTCATCCAGATCAATCAACCAACTACAGGTGCTGGGGCGAGAGCTTGGCAGTGACTAGTCGTGCAGGCGGGAGAGGGAGGGCATTACAGTCAACCTGGTCAGATTGGGCAGGTTCATACCCAATGGCTGTGTGCTTAGTATTTCTGTGCTTGTGTGGGGGGAAAAAAACAGCTTTGAGGGGGGGTGCCGAATTTTAGCTGATCAGACTCCAGGAGTACCCCAACGCACACTCTGGGATCCCCAAGCCTTGACTCTTGCCAACCTGCACCTAACACGCTCCGGAATTAGGTAAAGCAGGATGCATCCCTCCAGTGAGAGCGCGCATTCCATTCTAATAATCTTATCTCTGGAATTTCCGTGTGGATGTGGAATGCATGAAATTCTCAGCCGGGTTTGCATACCGTGAAGCATGGTGATGGGTTTAATAATTAATTGGTTGCTTCGCTCCCTAACTGTTTGCGGGGACGCTGCTGCGTGCATTCGGCTGCCGCGTTTTCGCCCGCAGAATGTACAGTCAGTTCACTTTACAGTGCATCCTGTGAAGCGCTTTGTCACGTCTCGAAGGCGTGAGAAGGCGCTGTATCGGATGCAAGGATTATTATTATTATTGTTATTCTCGTGTGTTAGCGACGCTTAATATTGGGCTACTTTGGGCTTGGCTTTGGGCTACAAGTTGTATGGTGTCGTATTGCGTGACGGTGTGGGCGGGGCGGCCTGTGATTGGCGGGCGGGGCGGCCTGTGATTGGCGGGGCGGCCTGTGATGGGCGGGGCGGCCTGTGATTGGCGGGCGGGGCGGCCTGTGATTGGCGGGGCGGCGGCTCTAGTGCCGGGGGACCCGGGCGGGGCGGGGTCGCCATGTCCACGCTGCAGGGCGCCTTCCTGCGCTGCGCCGCCTCCCTGGTTCCGCTGCCGCTGCTCGACTCGCTGCAGCCGGAGCCGGGCGGCTGGCGGCTCCTGGCCGGTTGCGGGCGCGGCTTGCGATGTGCGTGTCCCCGGCCTCCCCTCGGCCTCCCGCCGCCCACTGAGCCGAGTGCCCCCCTCCCGCTGCCCGCCAGCCCCACCATGGCTGACCCCGAGCCCCAGCCGCAGGCCGAGCCCCCCCGCAGCCCGGGGACCCCGCCACTCCTACCCGGGGCCGCTCCCTCGTGCAGCCGCGTGAAGATCCGAGTCGTGGCCGAGGAGGAGGAGGAGGAGGACCCCGAACCACAGCCTCTCCCCGTGGGCAACGGCAGCGACGAGGAAGCAGCCCGTCACGAGAAATCCAGGTACCCGCGCCCCGGGGCAGAGAGAGGACCGGCGGGGGGGTAAGAGGGAGAGAGAGGACCCTAAGGGGGTGGGGGTAAGCGAGAGAGGACTCTAGAGAGCCCCCCCCCCCGGGAGTGTGTGGGTGTGGCGGGGGGTGAGGAGAGAGGACCCTGAATGGGTGGAAGAGGAGGGGAGGGGAGAGAGAGAGGGCGCTAAGGGGAGGTAAGAGAAACCGAGGACTCTAGAGAGGGGGGACCCCCTGGGGGTGGGGTGGGGCGGGGCGACGACAAGAGAGAACCCCCTGGGAGTGTGTGTGCAGGCGGGGGGGGGGAAGAGAGAAAGGACCCTGAATGGGTGAGGGATAAGATGCGACGGTGGGCAGTGGAAGATGGGGGGTGGGCTTTATACCACATGTATTTTTAGTGCTGACTTTTTTCTGGAATGAAGTCACTATTAATTGGATCATCTCTTGGTGCATGTAAACTGCTTCCTCCAAAGGATTAAAGGAAGATGCAGACGGGGCACTGTTCCCTGTGGGGCGGAGGGAGGGGAAGGAGAAAGGGAGGGAGGCTCCAGATTCGACTGACTGGACTCTTAACTGAATAAATATTTAGGGCTTCGACAGCAGGTTTTTTTAATTGATTAAGAAACAGTGCATCGAATCGCTGAGGAATTGGAGTCTTTTACTCTGATTTGAAACTGCATGTTGTGTGTGTTCCAGTGGAGCTGAGAACGAAGGGGATGAATTGGAGAGTGACTGGAAGGCACCGGACTCCGAGCTGATACAAAAACTAGTTACCCAGATTGAGTACTATCTCTCTGACGAAAACCTAGAAAAGGATGCATTTCTTCTGAAGCATGTGAGAAGGAATAAAATGGGATACGTCAGTGTTAAGCTGCTGACATCCTTCAAAAAGGTACTTATTGATGATGACGACAACAACTTGCATTTATATAGCACCCTTCATGCCGGGCGGCGTCTCGGAGCACTTAAAGCTATTAAACTCTGACTGTTGGTTGTAGGGTTAGCTCAGGACTGCAGTCAATTGTTTACATTTAACACAAGATCTTAATCTTGAGTTTGTTGCACAACTTAAATGTTGGGTTGAGAAATGTGAATAGGAGGTGTGAAGTAATGTTTGGGATCCCAGCCTCCCTAATGGTCCATTAGGTAAATTGCGATGAGACACAGTCACCAGGAACGTTCCAAGTTTGATTCCTAATTTTTTTGAGCTTATCTGATGTAGTTAGGAAGAGGCAGTATTTTTGTATGGTGGTAGGGGGAGGGGAGCAGAAGAAAGTTTTAAGGATTTTAGGTTCATATATTGTAATCCTATTTAAAATTCACATCTGGGAGTGTTTGTAAATAGATCGTGTTGGTGTCTTTCTATAGAGGATACAATGGGATTGTGCACTTGAAACTTTTAAGGATTTGTAATTGAGCAGTTTAGTAATTTTTTCTCATTGGTGTAAGCCTCTGCTCCTGATCCCAATGATTGCCTGAGTACCCCATCCAAGTGGTGTTTATTCATGTATGATCCTTGACAGTGAATGTTGGCTGACCACTTCATTTCCTCAGCTAACTGCCCTACATATATAAGGCAGGGTAACCCTGACCCTCTCTAACCTTGAGAATACTGAGCAAATTTAGCTTCCCAAATTCAGCCCTAGCTGAGACCAGCAAACTGAGCATTGCCCAGAATTCAAACCAGCCGTTCAGTGATCTCAACAGGGAAAGAAATGATCGCCATCTGCTCTTGATTTGGATGGTTGATGGATGTCCTTTATTTTTTTTTTTGCTCGACCATTTTATTCAGTTGTCCTAAGTTTAATTTGTTAAAAGCCTAAGATAATTTTAAGAATATGAAGTAGATTTAATATTAATATTTGTCCGTATCAGTTGTGCGGGGGGTAATGGTGATCGTTTCCAAGTTGTTCCCTTGATTGTTCCCATTTTAAATGTCCTTCAGGTGAAGCACCTGACGCGTGATTGGCGGACCACTGCACATGCTCTAAAGCTGTCGGAGACACTAGAGCTGAATGAAGAAGGCAGGAAAGTGCGGCGAAAGGTGGCAGTTCCTGTGTTCCCCAGTGAAAACCTTCCTAGTCGGATGTTGCTGGTGTATGACATGCAAAAGTGCCCAGAATTACAGGCGCTGAACCACAACACAGAGCCTGAAAACAGTGGTTTACAAGAGAGAATTATGGAATATCTGCTTAAGATCTTTGGCCTCTTTGGTACTATCTCTTCGGTGCGTATTCTGAAGCCCGGGAAGGACCTTCCTCCAGATGTGAAGAGGCTTAGCAACCGGTACTCACAGCTGGGAACCAAAGAAAGTGTAATCGTGGAGTTTGAAGATGTAGAAGCTGCAATTGAAGCACATGAGTCACTGGGAAAACCGACAGAAGACGATGGCATGAAAGTTGTGCTGATCGGCATGAAGCCACCAAAGAAGAAAGCTGTTCGAGACAAGGAGGACACCGGGAAGGCTAGCTCCAAAAACAAATCTTTGAACAAGCGAGTGGAAGAGCTGCAGTTTGGTGCTGAGGATTCTTCTCCATGCAGTTCATCTGAACCCGACAGCAACCCCACCTCTCCCATGCTTGGGCGCAAGCTGAAACCCAACAACAAGCTGAGTCCCAACACTTACAACAATCACTTGAGCCCCAATGCATCTCCTCGTTCCAGTCCCTGGAACAGTCCCCGATCCAGCCCCTCAGTACAGCGGAAAAACCTGCTTGTAAGGAAATCACCACTCACGGCAGATACAAAACTCAGTCCTAGTACAAGTCCTGATCTTGGCAGGAACTGGGTGGATTATTCGTCCGACAGCAGCACACCACCATGTGGGAGCCCATGGGTGCAGAGACGAAGACAGGCTCAGGCAGTGTCCCATGAGAATAGTCCCACAGGGAGCCCGATGCTTTCACGGAAAATCCTGAATGCTGGCGGACTTCCTCCAGGAGTAGTGAGGTTGCCTAGAGGTCCTGATGGTACAAAAGGATTCCAAATCGGTGGTGAAAGGGGCAAGCCACTTGTCATCTGAATAAAGACATCTGTTCCCTGTTGTAACTTGCTCCAAGAATGACTTGGTTCTGCTTTGTGGACCTGGTCTGTGAGGACCATTTAAAATGAGACCAAATTTTAAATGACTGAGTTGTATGATTTGAGTTTAGGTAGTAGTATATCTGTGAAGTTATGTTTTGATGTAATGCTGGCAAAGCAGCTGAACCCTGTGTTTTTGTATTAGCTTTTTTTCTAAGAATGTATGAACTATACACTTTTTTTTGCTATGCCAGGTAAGCGAAGCAGTTTTATGATTTACATACCAATTGTACAGTGATGGGAACAGCCTAATTGTGAAATACTCATTAGGGTAGCTATGAGATATTGTAGCAAGCTGCTAGCTGCCTTGTTTCTTTATGAACTTACATTGGTTTATTGCAAGTTAGGGGCATTGAGTTACTTACTGTGTTATCATTGACCTTATAGAAAGGGAAGTATTATTCAGAGTGAAGCGCTGATATTTGTTCATTCAGACCAAATTGTTGCTATGATGCAAATAAAAACATATAGCAGTGATGTCATCCTGTTTTGTTATGTGCACTTACTGTGCAGACACTCCCAACTTAACAGCTGGGGTAGATAATTTACAACTTTTACTAACTTTTACTTCACTTGCATTTGTCACTAATAATACTTTGTAATACTGTACTTAGTTCACAAATTAAATGGGGCAATGCTTTCCTACCCCTGACCCAGAAGCCACCTAAATCCAATACATAGTAACAGGTTAGTTTTTATTAGGCATAATGGGTTCATGACATGAACGCTACTTTAAATTATTTGTCCTTTTGCATAGAACGATCACCTTCACTTGCACAGTTCATTCTCCCTGAATTGTTTGAACACCCCTCCACGTTTTCTTGCTTTTCCATTCAAATGAATAGAACACAGTATGGTTTCAAATTGCACAGCTGAATTGAAGGAGTTAAAATCAGAGCTTGCTTCTTTAGATGGAAATTTAAATGGAAACTCAAAATGTTGATACACTGACATTTTATTTTCATATTTACAATCAAACTTCATACAGATAGAGGTATAACGATTTGCATCTTACTGTCCAAGCACTGAAAATACTTCCCCCATATACATTAGGTTACCATTGTACACAGCCCACAACAACTCAAAAAAACTTTCCACCCAAAGCAGAAGTGGAGCAATGTTTTAAATTCCTTGTAATCATACTCATGAGGACATTTTATTGCTAACCTCTTATAGGAACAGAGCTTGACCTCAGGAGGTGTGCAAAGTAAAGCACGTCAGCCAGCAACGTTACTTGAAGTCACACTTTGCTGCACTGAATTAAGTTCCAGGTGGCAAGTTTACATTACATCCTGAATGATGCAACACAATGTTGGATGGTAGCTCACATACCTGCTACTTTGATATTGGCCTAACACCAATCACCAGACTGAGGGCTTAAACCTTAAATTTGTACTGCAGGTGAGGTGCATTAGCAAAGGAAATCCAACTGGATTGTGTGGTTAGAATCCCACATTATCCACTTATTTTTACGGTACCTATCCTTCAAGCATACTGCAGTGAGTGTTAGAAGCCTATTCACCAGGAAGGGGAGCTCATTATTATGATGGAGCTCAATGCTTAAGCATCCAATATTCTCACTGTACACCTTCCAATAGTGGGCATGAACATCACCAGAAGCGGGATCCTCTTATTTTGTTTCCCTCCTAAAGGGGGGAAACTGAGCTAACTAGCACTGCCGCCTCATTTGCCTCGAGTACAACTCAGATCGCCCTTTTGTACCAAATCAGTCTCATCTCCGGAGCAAGTGCCTCGGCTCAGAAATTGGGGGGATTGCATGAATTGGGCCTAGCATAGCATTCCAAAAATATCATCCACCTTTGCATCATAGATCAGGACTGGAGATCATATCTCCAAGAGGAGGTTGACAAAGTGAAATGACTTAATATGTTACATAATAAACTACATTGGTTCTGATTCACTTGCCAATGTTCCAGCATAAAATGACCTGCCACTTACACACACGCGCCTGCATTTATCCTGCCATATCCAACCTTGTCCCATTTGTCCCCAGCTCTTACCTGACATACAACTTGTTCTTTTGTGAGATTAAGATTCCAGTGAATAATAACAATCGTTGCATTTTTATATAGCAGCACATTAACATGTCTTTGAGACATCTCAAAGCACTTTAGAATATACTGTAAAAGTGAATTGACTGTATATTTTGTGGGCGAAACGCAGCAGCCAACTGTACACAGTAGTGTTCCACAAACAGTTGCGAATTGAGTAACCAAATCTTTTTTTGAAAGAATTATTACCCCCAGAAAAGCGATCCGCCAATGGCTAACAACTGGGTTCCTACTTACTGCTATCTTAACAGAGGCATGTGGAGTAAGGAAACTTGCCCAACATTTTGCCCTGCCAGCAATCGAATCCAGGTCTCATTTGCTACAGGATTCCACAATAAGTTAATTGAGCAGTTTTGCAAGCAGCCCAGTCGCCATTCTAATCCCAGTACTGTAAGCACCTTGACAGCTGCCACCATCATTCCTACCAAAGTCCTTTCCCCAACTTAGTTCATTCTTAATCTGCTACTAAAAGATTTTCAGAATCTACTCCCATTTCATGCATCCAACGTTCCTTCCAAGATCCCAACAGCAGTGCAGAGATATTTTACAGTGGTTGTAAATTATTTCACCTCGACAGTGTCTGAAGAAACCAATGCAATGGGTGAAAATAAGGCTACTCGACACTTCACTGACTTTTGGCTGCACATAACTGAAAAAATGTGATCTGATACAATGTTCATACAATTCCTTATTACCTTAGCAAGTCAAGGCAAAAATGCTCAGTACAGATACTGTACACATTAAGCAGCAGCTGTGAGATACACAAGCAATCTTCCCCCATCAGCAACCACATTCACAGTTCTGTTTGGTGCTGTCTTCTGGCTAAAGAAAATGTATAAAATTCAGTCAATGCAGGCAAGGCCTGATTTTCAGATCAAATATACAAAGAACCATCCGCAGGACCCACATATCCAATGCCGATCAGCAGCACATCTATTAAGGTCCAGATTCCAAGGCCTCCGAAGCTGAAGAGTTTGCCGAGACCCTCCTTCCACTGGCCCAAATAGAAACGATCTGCTCCAAAGCCACCCAGTGTGATGCTGTAAATTAAAAAGCGCCAATGTAAGTAAGAAGGAAGTTTATAATCTGCGTAAATTGACATATAGATACTCAGGAGAGGTGTTAGCTGTGCTCACTCTGGCTTTTCGGGCCAACAATCTTCCAAGTAAATTCATCTCATCGCTGTTTGTGGGACCCTTCTCATGCAAACGGCTGCTGCAAAGCCGATAAAAACAGTCATCAAAGATGAACAACAACAACAAGATTCCATTTATTGAGCGCCTTTCACGTCGGGAGGACGTCCCAAGGCGCTGTACAGTTAGGTCAGGACCCGAGCAAGGGGGAGAATGGTCAGGGTGAGGGAAGGGAGGGAGCGAGGAGGGGGTAGAGAGTCGAGAGGGGAGCTGAAGTCACGGTCAAAGAGAAAGGTCTTGAGACCAGCCTTGAAGGAGGAAAGGGAGGAGGCGGCGAAGGCACTGGGGGATAGAGTTCCAGAGCCTAGGGGCTGAGAGGCTGAAGGCCCGGCCACCGATGGTAGGGCGGTTGGGGCGGGGGATGTGGAGCAGACCGGAGCCAGAGGAACGGAGGGTACGGGCAGATAGGTAGGGGGATAGTAGGTCGGAGAGGTAGGAGGGAGCAAGGCCGTGAATGGCCTTGTAGATGAGGGTGAGGATCTTGAATTCGATCCTCTGGGGGATGGGGAGCCAGTGGAGGCGAGCGAGGGTGGGAGTCATGTGTTCCCGAAGCCTGGTGCGGGACAGTACACGAGCTGCAGAGTTCTGAATGACCTGCAGTGTGGAGGGAGGTGCCGGGAAGGCCGGCGAGGAGAGAGTTCCCATAGTCCAGCCTTGAGGGGATAAATGCGTGGACCAGAGTTTCAGCAGCGTGAGGGGTGAGGTAGTGCCGTAGTCTGGCGACATTCCGGAGGTAATGGAAGGCGGTGCCAGTTGTGGCGCGGATATGAGGGAGAAAGGACAGCTCAGGGTCGAACAGAACCCCGAGGTTCCTGACTGGCTTTGAGAGGTGGAGAGTGCAGCCTTGGATGCTGATGCTGTCAGCGCCTGAGAATAGCTGTTTCCACATGATAAGTGCTAAACAAAATTATAATTTGTTCTTTTATATAAAGAATGCATATTTGAATTGGATGCCTAGAACAATAACAGACCAAAGCAAAAGTAGTGCCTCTATTTTAGAGCAAACGATGCACGAATTAAAGCAACAACTTTCACATTCTTGTCTCAAGGCTCTAACAGACTATTACCAACCACTCTCTGTCACCTCTTATAGGTGCAGAGAGTCAGTGTATTTGCTAAAGAAACAGCTTTCCCCCACTGCTCAGAGAGAGAGAAAGAGAGAAGCAGATGAACAGATAATGGAATTGTGCAACTGGTTCGGACTAAACTATAGCTAAAACACTAAAGCATAATGTAAAACAACGGGTAAAATAGCAAAAGAGAAACAAATAAAGTACTTTCACAAGATCTGTGGTAGCACCCAGCATGTGAAACTGGGCAGAATTCCAACTATATCAGTGTCAGTTCAAGTATATTCAGCTATCCAGTTATTATCCCGTTACAATATCTACCATGGCATGGGTTACCTTTTGGAAATCTCAAGCTCACAATGACAGGCAAACAGCTGTAAGGTAACAATGATGTGGGATGCATGCTGCTCCCAGCCTCTAACAAGCGTATATTTATCTTACCTCTCAGCCATGGATGGTGCAAGGAGAGGAACACCAGATAAAGGGAAATGGAGTGCTTTTTAAAAAAAAACATACCTTAGAGCCAGTGCGGTTGACCATTTGTAGCCCCCTGTCAAATTGCAATACATTTTCTTTTGGAACTCCCGATACCCTAGGCACAAAAACAAGATTAATTGGGACCTGAAATTCAGAACTGGATTATTTTCCACTCTTTTGTCATTTATTCAGATTTCCAGGTCTCCTGCCCATGGAACATTACGTGGATTATTTTGAGCTACAGTGTCTTTTTTTAAAAATGAACTAAACATTATTGTGAAGTTACAACACAAATACTCTGCTCATAATTTGTCACTCAAGATAATCTGCTCAGATTCATTAGATAGTAAAAACAGACCAACTGCTCAGGAGGTGAAACCACTGCCCAGAGTAAAAATACATCTACTGAGTGGGAACATGTCAGGTACAATTTTTTCTTTCCCTTCAGTCGGGTATCTATAAATACATACAAAAACACATCGCCATGCTTAAACTAGATAGAGTTCCACATATACTTAGATAATTTTAAGATAATTCTTTGGGGAGAACAAGTTTGCAGGGCTGAGGAGAGCAGGTGAGTGGTATTGATTTGGTTAGCTCTTTTAAAAGAGCGGTACAGACATGATGGGACGAATGACCTCCTTCTGTGCTGTATAATTCTATGGTTCTATGCTATGTATGCCACTTGCACACAGAAAATTTCCAGGAGTCGTATGCACTATCGCTCCCCGATGGGATACGAGGAGCATTAGTTGCAAGTTGGTAAGGCTGGGGTGGGGTGGGGGGGGGTGATGCCACTGAAGTTTAACTAGCTAAAACTGTTTAGCTGCTTGACCAGCTACAGCCACTCTATTCTAGAGCTTTGGCTTGCAGGATTAACAGGAGCTGAGTGGGAAGAATCCATGCTCCTAGTTGCTCCCCAGTCCTACAAAGACCACCCACACACATAAACACACACCCCCAACAAAAACAACAACAACTGGCATTGGCGCCCCTTGGACTGGGAGAGTATGAATTTTAGGCTAATTTTCCCCATTCATCGCCCAGTGACTCCTGCAGATATGCATTCTACCCTCTTCCCAGTGCAGGACTGATCTCTAACACTAAACGGTGACATTTTCATGTGCAACTCCTGCGACATAGAGAACTTGTTTAGCAAAGAAGTGACAGGAAAGTCCCTTCAGGGCTGCACTTGCTTGACAATATCAGCAACCCCTGCTGATTGATTACAACTGAAAAATGTCACTGAAAGACAACTTACCCAAACAATGGACATGGGGTAGAACGGTACAGTTGGAAATGTAATATTCACGAGGACATTGAACTGTCTTGCAGATTTTCAAGTTTGTGCAATTGTATTCAGTGGGTGGTAGTTGCCAACAAAATCGACAGATCATGGTTATTTGGAAAAATTTCTGATCCACTTTATTCTCATCCTGGACATGAGAATGGAAAAGTATATGTTTATATACGAGTTTACTGTTCTTCCTCACAAAAAGGAACAAGGCAAGTTGCAGCTGTATGTCCAAGTACAGCATGGCAGAGACCTTAGAATCTGCAGCCTGGTTGCAGGGCAATTCAGAGGAATGGAAACCTCTTAAAAATAGTAAGTGATTACTTTTCAAAATTAAATATTTAACAGCACCATGGAAATTAAAATGGACAATTCATCAAGCAAAGGGTAATGTAAATTTTACATCACTGACATTTTTGAAATATTGGAAAGTGAAAGCTAGACACAAATAACTGATATCAGATGATTCTTAAATTACAATAAACAATTTGTCCACAATTGCTACTTACTACACACTGTACTCCTGGCTTTGTTGTGCAATTAAATGTTGCATCTTTGCCATACACACACTTGTTATGCATCTCACAAGTCATACAGGATGCAGGCAACTTGCTGCAGAGTCCAGCACTGGGACAGTCTGGTAGGTGAGATGACACCGTGCTCACTGCTGGGGGAAAAAAAATCAGGGGCAATTACCATCTTGTGTCTAAGAACTTAAGGGGCCATTCTCTCTAGTCAGCTAATTCCACATCTTCCAATCTCCGACCACGTTATTCTGCCCTTTGAGACACCATCCCAACATGAAAGGCGCAATATAATAATAATAATCCCTTGCATTTGATAAAGCACTTTATCACGTCTTTGAGATACTGAAGAAGTATCTACTGTGAGGAGAATATACGGTAAAGTGAATTGACTGTACTTTATCGTGGGAAAAACAAGGCAGCTAATTGCACAAAGTTTGTGCCCCACAAACAGTCGTGGACTGAGTGCCCAGATTTTTTTTTTGAAGGAGTTATTACCCCCGGAAAAGTCACCCACTTGCTCTCATTGTGGAGTCCTGTAGCTCAGTGGTTAGAGCACTCGCTTTGCAAGTGAGAGACCTGAGTTCAATTCCAGGCAGAGGGCCAAACCTTGGGCAAGTTTCCTTACTCCACACAGAGCCTAATAATAATCCCTCCAAAACCAAAAACAATAATAAATTGGTCATTTTCAATCTATGACTGTTTGTGGGACATTGCTGTGCGCAATTGGCTGCCGCGTTCGCCCACAAATATACAGTCAATTCACTTTACAGTGTGTTCTGTGAAGCGCTTTGGGACGTCCTCCCGACGTGAAAAGCGCTATATCAAATGCGAGGATTATTATTATTATTATTATCCACCAAATCGACTAACAACCAGGTTTCGACTTCCTAACAGGTAAAAAGAGTTGTGCAGAGTAAGGAAACTCGCCCAGCACGTCCCCTGGCTGGGAATGGAACCCAGGTCCCCTCGCTCGCGAGGCAAGACGCGAGGACGGGGATTCTAATTATTCCGCGTGATTAATCGACGATTAATCGGGGAACGGTTTTTTTTTTTGTTTTTGAAAAAACAGCGGGAGACATATTTCTAGTCAACACACGGTGTGGTTATTTACCTGCCGGCAAAGTACTAGGTGTAGTGTTCAGAATGGTGGTTGGAAGCAAAGAGCTTTCAGCCGAGAGCCCTCGGTTGGGATCCTTAGTGCTGAAGGAGTCTGCAGAGGAACATTAACACTGAAAGTGACTCTCCCCTCCTCCACTGGAGTCAAACAGCCCCTAACACTGCGGACACTCCCCTCTCCCCCTCTGTGCCTTTGTAGCAGAGCCGAGGTCCCGGTCCGCGCGAACTCTCCGCCTCGAGTCCCCCTTTCCCGTCGCCGAGGAGGTACTCACCGCCGCCCAACAGCGCGTGCAGCTGCGACACGAAGAGAAAAAGCTCAAAGCTTCTCGACACCGCCGCCATCGCTGACCCCTAACCCGGCACCGCTCTCCCGACAGCAGACCAATCACAGAGCGCGGAGTGGGGGGCAGCCAATCGCAGAGCGCGGAGGTGGGGACAGCCAATCGCAGAGCGCGGAGGGGGGACAGCCAATCGCAGAGCGCGGAGGGGGGACAGCCAATCGCAGAGCGCGGAGGGGGGACAGCCAATCGCAGAGCGCGGAGGGGGGGACAGCCAATCGCAGAGCGCGGAGGGGGGACAGCCAATCGCAGAGCGCGGAAGGGGACAGCCAATCACAGAGCATAGAGGGAACAGTCAATCACAGAGCACAGAGGGAACAGCCAATCACAGAGCAAACAGCCAATCACAGAGCACAGAGGGCGGGTCAGAGGGTCACTGTGAGTGTAGTGACTGTATTTTCCATGTAAACTCAGCTGCCAGATTTGTGCACAGTAACACCACGAAGACCACCCACAGTGCAGCGACTGACGCCAAATCGGAGGCACAACAAATGGCAATGAAGATCGTAAAAGATTGCCAGAGGACCTACAGTAACTCCCGATCACTCATCACTCCAAGGGAAAAGGGCTCAGTGACGAGTTATCTGGAGCGATGAGTTAAGCAGGTGTATGAGTTACGCATACGTATGAGCGATGAGTTAGGCATAATTAAATCCGGCCGGGATATTGGAAACCTCGTGACTTCAATCAGGGTGACCATAAACATATAAAAAAAATGGAACTCACCACAATTCACGTTTCCTGACAAGCTTGTTGGATTTATTTGCTTGTTGGATTAATGTCTGTATTTCTCTGTGTTGTATTTCTCTGTATTGTTCTTGTTCAGTTTGCGGCTGAACTCAAGTCGGGGCAAATTTGGCCGAGCCAGGGGCACAGTACCTCATCCGGGGCCCGTTCCCAGACATCGTGACGTGTGGTCACCCTGGTTAAGTGCTGGTGACAAGAAGTCAAGTCAGGGTTGAGGAGTTTATTATATATAGGCTAACCGGGTGGTAGATAGGCAGCAATTTCAGTATTAGACAATGTGAAGAAGTGCATTTTGGAAGAATAAGGAAATAAAACACAATAGGCAATATTTTAAATGGTGTTGAGGAACGGAGGTGTGCAGAAACACATCACCAAATGCGTCAGCGCAATTGTTTTAAGGCCAAAATATTTTATACCCAGAAAATAAAACACAAAGAAAACTGAAAATAAAAACAAGGATATAATGCTGAAAGAACTAAACTTCTTGGAGTATTGTGGATAGTTTTGGGCTTTCCATTTATAGAAAGGATATAAAAGCATTTGAAACCGTGCTAGTGCTGAATCATGGATGTTGCCTTGGGAAGTCCTCCTGACATGAAAGGCTATACAAATGTAATTTTTGTTGTACCAGGGATAAGAGTTTTGAAAAATTACAACTTTTTGACTAGACCTGAGAAGCTTGAGAGGTGGCCGATAAGAAATTGTTAAGATTTTCAAAGGTTATAATAGGATAAATAGAAAAATAGGTACAGGAAGAGCCCATTCAGTCCATGTTTATCAGATCATGCCTTTCATCCCATTTCTTCAACTTTTCTCCATACTCTTTAACATCCTTGCTTTCCCAGTATCTATCTATCTATCTCCCTTTTGAACACCACACCTAATTTTACCTCTACGGCCTTGTAGGGAAGTGCGTGTCACATTTTAAACAACCTGCTGTGCAAAAAATATATATTTTCAGATCTCAGCCCTAAATTTAGGAAAAGCTCCAATGCAGGTTTGGAGGGCTGAATGGCCTGTTTTTGTACTGTAGCATTCCATGTCCTTTTCATTCGCCAAAGAATCTCATGTGATGAGGGCACTCAGCATAGGGTTTGTCAGAGACCTTTGAATTTCACTGCGGTCCAGTTGGCAACACTTTCCTTGCTGCAACATATGGCACCATTGGATAATCAAGGCGCAGGCAATGACCAGCCGTCATTTAAGTCGCTTGTTGTGATAAATTAGACTCAATCAATCAACGGGGAGTGAGGATCACTGAAAATCCCTAATTGTAACAATCCTCTTATGTTGCTGAGTGCAAAACGACCTTACTGTCCCTCGCTGCTCTTGCTTTTGTTTGCATCAGAGAGTTTACCGCAAGGAAATTCACCATGAATTTGGGTCCTACATCATCGAACGATGGGCATTTTATTTGCTGAGCAGTATTTTGCCAAAAGGGAAGAAGAGATCTTGATCTCACTGCTGAGGGAGAGAATGTTGCGCAGAACAACTCTCTCCTGGCTCACAAACTGCACCAAACCCAACTGGAAAAGCAGCAAGATAGAGTGGCACGGGAAGACCACTGCCCTGCTCAAGAACCATCGCCAGAGAATAGTCAGGGAGCTCGACGTGAGCGAAATCCTTCCCTACTTGGTCTGCAACAAGGTCTTCTCCCCGGTAGAGTACAAGGAAATCCTCTTCCATCAATGCAGGAATAAAAGAGCTGAAGTGTTTCTAGACTGTTTGGCTTTGAAAGGTCCCAATGCTTTCTGCGTGTTTTGCTCTGTGCTTGAGGATGTCTGCCCCAGTCTCCTCACGTCTTTTCTCCTAGAATGTGAAGGTAAGATTAAGGGCTACAGAGGCTGATTTTGACTCTCACTTTGTTTTAACTCACGTGTTCAAAAGGCTGGTTAGTGCAGATGACCTGACAGATGGAGATTACATACTCTTGAGTAGAATTAAGTACCCTATGACAATGACAATTTGTATCTAGGCCAGTATTTACTCACACTTTCTGAGCACTTTGTTATTGTTATTGCCCCTTCCCACCTCTCTTTCAAGATCCTTATTATCCTCTGCCCTTCCAAGCCTACAAGATGAAACTTTCTCCTCCTCTCCTCACTCAGCCTTCTTATTTTTGCTGTCTTTACCTATACATTCTTTGGCTTTTCCTGCCTTGTTTCCTCTGATTTCTCTGCTCTTCTGTCCTCCTCCAATGTCAACTTCCACATAATTTCTCCCTCCATATCTGCCCACTTTGGCATTAGACATGGCCTTGTCATCTCTGAGGTCAATGGTCATTCAGTGAACAGGCCATTCCTATTATCTGTCTCCTTACCTGTCTCAAATCCTTCCTCATTTCCATTATGCCCCTGGAGAAAACTAACCCCATAAAGAAACCAAAACACAAAATACTGCAGCTGCTGGAAATCTGAAACAAAAATAGAAGTCACTGGGAACACTCAGCAGGTCAGACAGCATCTATGGAGAAAGAAAAGCCCCTTAAGAATTTTGACTAAAAGAACGGTTGAAAAGACAGATAGTGGGCAGGGGTATAGCTTGGCCACCAATGGCAGGACAGAGGGAACAAGCAATAAACCAGAGTCAGAAGAGCAGAGGGCATGAACAGGAGAAAAGGGTCACAATTTTGAATGCGTGGCTTTGAAGGGTCTTTTGCCTCATTTCCAGTGACACTTTAAGTAGCATCTGGTGTAAATGACGCAAGAGTAAATGTGCAGAATGTTTAACTGCTGCAGGGATTTATAAATTTATAAAACAGCAATTGCAGATTCAGTGAAATATCTTTTATTCAAACTGGAAGATAATGTTTTCCTTTCCCCAGAAGAGATAAATTATTCCTTCAGACAGGAGGGGGAGTGTGTTACAGTTTATTAGAATTTGCTTTTGTTTCACCTGACACTGATGAGTCTCACTACCTGTTGGGGTGCGTGTGTGTGTGTGTAAGTATGTAGATCATGAACATGAGTGTCTATGTGTCGCATGATACTAGATGTCCTGGCCAACAATTGCCCAAATAAAATAGGCTAAAATAGGCTTTTCACTTCATAGCTGTTTGTAGGGTTTTGCTGTGCACAAATTGGCTGCCACTTCGCCTCCAAATACACAGTCCTACAGCACAGTAAAATTCTGTGAAGCACTTTGAGATGTCTTAACGTGATAAGATGCTATATCAAGTGCAAGTGTTATAAGATCATGAGAGGTTTGGATGAGGAAGGCCACTTAGTCCATTTGATCTCATCCTTCCAGAACGTATCCTGACCTTTATCACCATTCCCGGTAACCAGTTCTATTTATTGATTCAACCTTATTAAAAACATACTTACTAGTGTCTGATCTGAAATTGCTCTTCACAAGCCTGACCTTTTTCCCCCTTGTTTTCCTGCGTTGGTAAATCTGAAAGTATTGTTGTGAGTTTACGTTCCCATTTAGCATCTTACAAACCTCTACAAGGTCCCCTTTGACTTGTTTGTTTATCTAATCATTCCTCAACACTAGAGATCATCTTTGTTGCTCTCCTCTACATTGCCTCAGAGACCTGGGCATCTCTTTTATATCATAGCAACCAGAACTCCATGCAGTGCTCCAAGTGCAATCAGAACACTGTACATAATAAGTATGATTTCAAGGGCGGAACACAGTTGATTTGACAATGTAGCCAAGCATTATATTTGCCTTGTTAACTGTTGCATAAGAGTTTTGCTATAGTAAGGGATGAGTCAGATCTATCAGGTCTATCTCAGCTTCCCTCTTGGCAAATTTAATGTGCTTCGAGTATGTGTGTCTTCTATTTACTTCCTATACACAGTATCTTGCATCAGTCTGGGTTTATGGCTCATTCAGCCTCCTCTAGCTCCCCTAACTTGGTCTCAGCTGCAAAAGGTAACTGGCATACAACCTGCAAATCCAGATTATTAATTATACATAATATATACAAAGAATACTGGGGGGTCAACACAGTGACATCAGTCTGCAAAGGAGTCTGTCATGTTGTACATTGTCATAGGAAGTCTGGAAATTAGACACATTGGGGTAAAATATTATGGCATTCCTTAACTAATGCCAGTATAAACTATCACTCACCAGGTGGCAGCGCACCCTACCAAATAAGTTTTTGTTCCCATTTTACATCCCAGCTCCCAACATTTTTTCACTCAGAGACTGATATTTTTGTTTGTTTTAGGCCCTAGAGTGTTCTGGCCAACAATCCCCCAAATAAAATTGGCCATTTGTTTCATTGCTGTTTGTGGGACATTGCTGTGCGCCATTGGGCTGCT